AAGACCCTGTACATTTACAGAATGTTACATCAGCTTCCATCTGTAGAATATTTAATAACGGTAGGCCTAATTAAGGAGGAAAGTAAGAAGAATAAATTAGGACATACAGACATGAATTAGGGCACATACGAGATATTGTTAATACAGAGGAACTGATTTTTAGGTTTCAAAAGGTCTCAATAGGTTAAAACTGTGAACTAAAATCAAGAGGGATGAACTTAAAACCTACCTTGAGTGACCACACACACACAAAATTACATTAAGAAGAGGATAAGGAAATCAAGCTTGATGTCAAGAAGTTTACGAGAAAGTAATCTAGGATTGCACCAGACCACAAACAAAACATGAAAATAGCAGTATCACACAACTGGATTAAAAAAGAAGGAAAACACAACCCAGTATACAAATAAATATTTATACAATGAAATTTCATGCTAGCAGAATCTGACTGTCCAGTTTTAGGGAAATAATAATGTTCCCTATATTCTGAATTGGCCAAACTATATCTGCAGCACCATGTCCAGCTTGAATGTCTAACTTTGAGAAGAGCACTGGTAAAGTGGAATGTTTACTGAGGAGAAGAAACAAAATAGTAAGGAATGTGGGAAAGTACCAAAGGAAGTAAGGATGTCTGCTTAAAGGAAGGCTTGACAGATATCTTCAAATGTACATCTTTTTATCTTATAGAAAGGGAATAGGTATATTGTAAATAATTTTAGTAGACAGAATTTGGCCCACGTTAAAGGTATAGGTAGGCAGATTTTGCTTCAACGTTAAAAAATGCTTAAAAATTAAGAGGACATGCTGCCTTGCATGTAATGAGTTCCCTGACACTGAAAGAATTTTAAACAAAGGCTGCATAACCACAGTTAAGAATGTGATATAAAGATTCTTGTTACAGGTAAAGACTTGCGTTGGGTGAAAAGTTTTAACAGTTATCTCTAAAACCCTTTTCAATCCCAAGATACTATAAGCTGAAAAGATTTTTCAGAACCAGTATTTATGATCAATGACTAACATGAAAAAGTATAAATATTAAAATATGCATTATGATTAAAAAATACTGGCAGATGCTTAAAAGTGAGTTTGCAAAGTATTTTAAACATTTACTCTATACTTTTATTGCAATCACTGTGAATGGTTTCCCTTAAGAAAAGTTACACTTTAACTCAGCCTTATAGATCCACAAATTTTAAAATATAAATCAGTAAGATGACCTCATATATAGACAGTTAAAATTGCAGAGCATGGAAATTTAGCTAACCTTCTGCCACAGAAGAAGGAATCCATGACGTTTTATCGACCACGGAATTTAGATTTTGTATTGGTCTCAAGCTAGAACACTGCTTACATCTGAAATTAATAAAACATAAATATCTAAAATTAATTGAATTTGTTTAATTATAACTTATTTTTTCTGTTCAAGTATGTTTCTGTTTAAAAAAATAAGTCATTAAACAGAAGAGTATTATATCTCCTATATTGCGATTATTTCAAAAGAGAATTATCAAAAATAAGCTTTTTCTATAAAGACAATAAAAAAGACAGAATAAGATTCAGAATAAACAACTGTAAATTGAGAATAAGGGGCTGGGTTCCAGGTCCAAAGCATGAATTAGCTTGGCTCTTAATTTCCTTATTTGTTAAAATGAAAAATTTTAAAAAGATAATAATCTCCAAAGTTCTCTGATTTTATGGCTTTATGAGATATATCTAATAGTCAAAGTACAGCCAACAGAAAAAATTATTCTGACTCA